GATTTTTGAATATTAAACCATCCTTGCCTTTCTGGGAAAATCCCCACTTAGTCATAATGCATTATCCTTTTTGTATGTTTATACATTCAATTTGCTAATATTTTAAAGAACAAAAAAAAAGTCTGCGTTCATGAAGGATATTTATGTATAATTTTTTTTTAATTTTTTATCAGGGTTTTTCAGGCCTTATAAAACAAATTTAGAAGGGACCCCTTCCATTTTCCGAAAGAGTTGTATAAGATTGGTGTTTGTTTAAGACTGTTCTTTAAATATTTGATAAATTTCACCAGTGAACTTGGGAAAGAGCTTGATAATCAATTTGATTTCTTTAATAGATATTTGGCTAGTCATATTTTCTATTTCATCTTGTCTTAGTTTTGGTAATCATAGTTTTTATTTATTTTTATTTTTTAATATATCTTTATCGATTTCAGAGAGAGGAAAGGAGATGGAGAGAGAGAGAAACATCAATGATGAGTCATTGATCAGCTACCTCCTGCACGCCCCCGACTGGGGGTTGAGCCTGCAGCCCAGGCATGTGCCCTGACTGGGAATTGAACCCCGATCGCCTGGATCCTAGGTCGACGCTCAGCCGCTGAGCCACATCTGGCTGGGCAGTAATCATTGTTTTAAAATATATTTATTTATTTTATGCACATTGTTGAATTTATTGGTATAAAGTTGTTCATAATGTTCTTTTATCTAGTTAATGTCTGTGGCCTCTGTAGTGATATCACCTCTTTATTCCTAATATTGGTAATTTGTATTCTCTCTTTTGTTCTTGATCAGTCTGCTTCCAGGTTTTGTTTTGTTTTTCTTTTTCAATCCTCACCCAAGGATATTTTTTCCATTGCTTTTCAGAGGGAGCGGAAAAGAGAGAGAGAGAAACATCGATGTGAGAGAAACGTCGATGTGGGGTTGCCTCCCACATGCACCCCAACTGGGGTCCGGGATTGAGCCTGCAACTGAGGTACGTGCCCTTGGCTGGAATCAAACCCAGGACCCTTCAGTCCACAGGCCAATGCTCTAACCACTGAGCAAGACTGGCCAGGGCTGCCTCCAGGTTTATTAACCTTAATTAGAAGTTTAGAACTTTCAGCTCTACTTCCTAACCTCAGGGAAGATGAGAAGGGCTGGAGATTGAGTTCAATCACCAATAGCCAATGATTTAAACAATCATGCTTATGAAATGAAACCTCCACAAGAGTCCCTAAACAACTGGGTTCTGAGAGCTTCCAGATTGCTGAATACATTGAGGCGCTGGCAGGGCAGTGGCCCAGAGAGGGCATAGAAGCTTCCTTCCCCCATACCTTGCCCCATGCATCTCTTCTATTTCACTTTTTCTGAGTTGTGTCCTTGATAATAAACCAGTATACATAAGTGAAGTGCCTCCTGAGTTTTGGGAGCCATTCTACCACATAATTGAACCTGAGGAGAGCTCATGGAAACCCTAGAATTTCTAGTCAGTTGGTCAGAAGTACAAGTGGCAACCTGGGATTTCCAACTGGCTTCTGAAGTGGGGGCAGTCTTGTGGGACTGAGCCCTTAATCTGTGGGGTTTGTGCTAACTCCTGGTAGTTAGTGTCAGAATTGAATTGAATTGTAGGACACCCAGGTGTTGTCTGCAGAGAATTGGAGAATTATTTATTATGGAAAACTCATACACATTTCATGTTAGAAGTTTTGTGAGTAAAAATTCAGATATCCTGGTCAGTGTTGCTCAGTGATTAGAGTGTAGCACCGAAGGGTTTGATTCCTGGTAAGGGCACATACCCGGGTTGCAGGTTCAATCCCCAGCCCCAGTTGGGCACATGCAGGAGGCAACCAATCAATGTGTCTTTCTCACACTGATGTTTCTCTCTCCCTCTCGCTCGCTCCTTCTCTCTCTCTGACTCCTCTCTCTCTCTATCCCTCCCTTCCACTCTTTCTAAAAATCAATGGAAAAATATCCCCAGGTAAGGGTTAAGGAGGGGGGTGGGGGGACTGCTCAGATTGTCCTGCCAGTCCCAGCTTAAAATTCTACCCTGGCTTCCCCTTGCACTTGAACTCATTACAATGGTTTTTATAAAAGCCATCCATTATCCAGCCCAGCCTGGTTCTCCAAATAATAGCACTCACTTCCCTTTGGCTATTGCCTTTTCTTTCTCAAATATTCCAGTACTTTTCAGCTGTAAGACCTTTGTAGTGCTGTTTCCTCAACTGGAATGTCTTTTCTCAATATCTTGGCATGCTGACTTTCCCATCCTCAGCTTCAGCTAAAATGTCACCTCCTTAGGGAGGCCTGCCCAACCATTATACTTAAAGACCCTCTCCCCACCTACCCCACCCCTCCAACCCACCCCCTGTTAAGTTTCATCACCACCACCTTGTTTATTCCTTTTAATAAGTTTATCACTCTCTGATTACCTTGTATTGTTTATCACTGCTCTCTAGCACCTAGAATGGTGTCTGGCACGAATTAAGTGCTCTATAAAAATCTGTTGAGTGAATACATGAGAAAACATTTACCCCCATTTTTAGAGAAATTCTTTCCTACCTTCGATTTTCATCAAGTCATCCATATATAAACTGGTATTATGTAAATCCAGGTAAAATCAACTCAAGATGAGTAACAATATTGGAATGTCCTGTTGATAAAGAAGAACTTGGGGACTGGCCTTGATTCAGCATGTGCTATAGCATCCTTTCAACTTGCCCCTCCGAGGCGCCACTCTGCGGGGGCGAGAGTTTCAGTGATGATGCAGCTGACCTGGTCCTCTGCTTCCTTTTTTCATTCTTCTGATCAATGTGTGAAATAATTTACTTATTTATTTACTGTTGCCTGTTGCCTGTTTTTCCACTCCTGCCCTACCCGGCACCATGGTGAGCTCGGTGAGGAAGAGGATCTTATTCTGTTTGTTCTGGTACCGAGTAGGTGCTCAACCAACTGTGGAATGAGTGGATGACTGTTTCAGAGGAGAAGGGCATGAGTCCTCTCTTCCCCCAAGTCTTCCCAGATTAAGATCACCCCCATTTTTGCACAGCCTACCTACTATATATGTAAAACCCCCATGAAGTATGAATGTTTACTAGTTTATTCATTTTGATTTTTTAAAAAATATATCTTTATTGATTTTCAGAGAAAGGAAGGGAGAGGGAGAGAGAGAGATAGAAACATCAATGATGAGAGAGTCGTCACTGATCGGCTGCCTCCTGCACGCGCCCAACTGGGGATCGAGCCCGCAACCTGGGCATGTGCCCTGACCAAGAATCGAACCATGATCTCCCGGAAGCCAGGTTGATGCTCAACTGCTGAGCCACGCCCGGCAGGGCTAGTTTATTCATTTTGAGCTTGACTTTACTCATATATCTACACACCCATCCTCTGTGTGCCTGTTGATGTTTTGTATGTGAATCTTTTGTTCACTCCTGAGCTTGCATAAGGATAATTTAGCATAATATTTATGACATCATGATAGGATAAAATCTGATGAAGTTGAGCTCCATCCTGTAAAGGCTATTTCCTCTATAAGCAGAGACTACTTTTCCTTAAGAAAAGTCCAGTAGTTGTATAAAGGCATGATAAAACTGATCATCAAGTAGGTACTGGGAGCCCTGGCTGGTTTGGCTCAGTGATTAGACATCAGCCTACAGACTGAAGGGGGTCCCAGGCTTGATTCTGGCCGAGGGCATGTACCTCGGTTGCAGACTCAATCCCTGCCCTGGTCAAGGGCAGGAGACAACCAAATGGATGTGTCTCTCTCACATCCATGATTTCCTCTCTCCCTTCTGCTCTCTCTGAAAAGCAATGGAAAAAATATTCTCGGCTGAGGGTAAAAAAAAAAAAGGTACTGGAAGAAGAGTTGCAGCAGAGCACAAGAACTAAAAGTATACTTTTTGCAGGGAGTAGCCACTTGAAAATCTTCCCAGGTAGCAGCTATGTTTCTCTCTTTTTTAAAAAAATGTGTCTTTTTATTGATTTTTAGAAAAAGAGGAAAGGAGAGGGATAGAGAGATAGAAACATCTATGAGAAATATCATCGATTGGCTGCCTCCTAAAAGGCCCCTACTGGGGATGGAGCCTGTAACCCGGGCATGTGCCCTGTCCAGGAATGGAACCAGTGACCGGGCTATATTTCTCTTTTAATTTCAAGTTTTCTTAGGATTACAAAATTAAAACATTCTGTTCTTGATTGTTTTTCACAAACCTGTTGTCTTCATGGAAACCCCCCAGTCCCTTGGAGGAAAATTTTTCTTTAAAAAAATACAGTACACTGTTCTTTTCTTTGAAATAACTATGGTGAGAGAAATTCTTCCCTTTAGGTTGAAGTCATGCTTTTAAATTGCTTGGAGGTGCTTACATATGAATCTTCATATAAACTCTCTCTGATTTAAAACAAAAGATGAAAGAAGGGAATTATCTCAGTAATTATTTAAAATACTTGGTGCAACTGTTCCTTATGAATTAATCCAGGCACTTGGAAGACAGTTACACTCAGTGTTAATAACATTGCCAACCTTTTCCAGTATGCTGCACTCCAAATACTATTGTGTTTTCATCGACATTTACTATTACATATGCATATGAAAAACAGGCATTTTCATCAGAATTACCGTAATAGCATTAAGAGATTATTACTTTTTCCAATTTCCTTGGAAGAAAATTCACTTAAATTAGATTATTTATCACTTGACTGCTTTCCTATCTTGCCTGTATGTTTAAGTAACTGAGTCCATGAAAGTATAAACTTCAGAATAAAAAGCATGATTTTATACATTAATGATTTCAAATAAAAGAGGAGTGCTAGTTTGTGGATCACTTCTTTAGAGAAAGTTAAGTCTGTGTTCTGCTTAGGAGAGATAACACTTTTTGTCCCTGTAGGTGGCCCCCCTGGTGTAGCCATTAGTTGCTAATTACTTGCAAACAAATAAACAATTAACTCCTCAAGCTGCTGGCTGGGTGTGCATTGACATGCTAAAACTTTCTAAGACAGGATTTTAATTAGTGACGTTCTAAATCCAGCTCCCCTGTCAGCGGAGCCCTAAGGTGAACTGCAGGAAGATCCCAGCCTTGTACTCGTGGGGCAGAGCCAGCCGAGAGGTGCACAGAGGCCAGAGCTGTGGACCTGTGCAGCCCACGCGAGGATGTCTCCCAGCCTTCAGGAAGGTGCTCAGCTTGGGGAAAGCAAACCCTCGCCCTGCTCCTTTTCAATTGAGAGCATTTTAGGACTGGACCAGAAGAAAGACGGTGTTCCATCCATGAAACCCCACAGGCCATGGGCAGACACCTGTAGCTCCTCAGGTATGCTTAATTTTTTAAACTCTTGGCTTGGCTTTGCACTGTTTAATATGGCTTTTAATTTTATACCACATAGAGTTAGAAGGAAACTGCAGTTTCATCCAGTTGCATAACTGAGGTATCTAGGACTTTTAATGCCTCTAGCTGAGTCCTATGGGAAATGAAAAGAATATCAGCCTTGAACCCAAGTGGGTACAGCGCTCACTCACAGGGAGTGCCAAGCGCCTGCATTTAGTTCAGATCTCTGTGTTTATTCCACACATCAGATATTCTAAGTCTTTTTTCACTGAAAAATAAATGCCATTCAGAGACCAAAATGTCCTCTATTGCCACTGCAGGTTCTTCATTTGTGTTTGTTTTTTGCTTTTCCGTTAATGAGAGAGGCCAGCTCTCTTGTGAAACCCAGAAGAATGCCACTATGAAAATTAGAGACAAGTTCCTGAAATTCTTGAAGAACTTTGTGGAATATAGGGTTGGACATCTAAGATGGGGTTTATTTTTCTGTTTTTAGAGAAAGATGTTAACCTATGTCTGCATGTCCCGAGCCTTCCAAATGGGATCTTGTTCCCGTGTACTCTGGATCACCCGGTGCCAGAAGAAAGAGTTAGGAAATATGAAAATTACTTTTCAGCCTCAGAAAGACTGTCTTTGAAAAGAGAGTTGAGTTGGTATAGAGGCAGAAGACCAAGAACTGCTTTTACTCAAAACCAGGTGGGAAGTTTTTTCAACTAATAAAGATAATAAAAAGGCTTTAACCAACACCCTGTTGAGCAAAAGTCCATTCGCTTTGGGATTTAAATTTAGGCCTTATTAATGAAACAACAGAATGTATAATTTTTAACAGTTTCTGGGTAGTCATTTAAAATTAAAAAAAGACATAGGGATTAATTGCCCAAGATTTAAATGAAATTATTTTGCTATACAAATTAAAGTCCATTTTATGATGACATACCAAGAATCAACATTTTAAACAACTATCTCCTGTCCTTAGATTGAAGTGTTGGAAAATGTCTTTAGAGGAAACTGCTATCCTGGCATTGATATTAGAGAAGACTTAGCTCGAAAACTGAATCTAGAGGAAGACAGAATCCAGGTAATTTTCAAAGTTAGTTGTTATTCCTGGTGATTGAAATGTTAAGAATAATGAAATAATGTTTCTGAGATCTGTTTTACTTCTCCTTAATTTTAGATCTGGTTCCAAAATCGGCGTGCCAAACTGAGGAGGTCTCATAGAGAATCACAGTTTCTAATGGCGAAAAAAACCTTCAACACAAATCTCTTGGAATAAATAGAAAACTAAATGTGAAGTTATCTCCCAGTTGCAGAACAGGAAGAGTCAATGGAAATATCAAGTTTTAAAAATGTGATGTTTTCTTTTCTGCATTTAATCTGAACATTGTCGCTTTCTGAAACTACATTGTAAATAATTACTCTATCATGGTACCTATTATACTTGGGCACTTTTAAATGTAATAAAGGCCTTTTCTATATATTTTAATAAACATTTTCAGAAACAGCCAGCTATTTTTTAAGTGAGCAAATTTAATCTAATAAATTAGTTTGCTAAAATCAGTAAACTCATGACTAAGTGGCTCCACAAACTGGATTACTGTATATTTACAAAATAATTCCAGTAAACTAATCTGAAGAATGGCACAGAGGTGTGATTTGTTTCAGTTCGTTTTCTTCAAATGCATTTTGATGCATAATTATGCTTTAATAGATTGTAGAATATGATTTATTCATAAATCTTTAGTTTCTCTTTATTTCTGGCATGAAGCAGTGAGAAATTTTCACCATATATCAATACAAATCCTTATAAAATGCAACTTCCAGCTTTTTTTAAAAGCAAAGTCATTATGCCAAAGTAGGAATATAAAAGTGTCAGTTGTCATATTCATACCATTGCACAAAAGAATTGAACTGCAAGTAAATGCAAATTTTTTAATGTTTTTTAGTTCATTTAATGCTGTACTTTAATTTCATTCATTAAAGTGATAATGATCATCTGGCTTATACCTGTTCCTAGTGTGGCGATTTCCAATCAGCTATATATTTTGTTACAAGCAATATGTTGACTGAGAAGGTAGGATAAGGCCTGCCTTGTGGATGTGCTCTGACATAGTTGCTGGAAATAATCAGGGCACTTTCTGGGACAAAAACTATGTGTTTTCTTTGCATTTGCCGTTGTACCTGTCAATTAAAGACACAAATAGGATTAAATAGCATCATAAGAAAGGAGTCTTACCACTGGAAACCTGGGTATTTGTTTTCCAGTTAATTAATGGAAGGCCAAAGTGGGTGTTCTTTTTGAAATGTTAGCTTGAGGGCTGTGACTTTGTCCCTGAAAGCCTCCTTCAACTTTGCCCATTTGGATTGAACCCTTCCGTGCTCCCCTTTTCTTTCTTTCCCATCCCTCTGTCCCTCTCTCTCCCAGTGATCATCAGAGTAGAAGGTTCTTATTGAATTTTTTTCTTTTTTCTTTCTTTTTTTCCTATTGCGTGAGAAAGATTAGAGGGAGTCTGCATATTATTGCTGAGGAAAAGTAGCATGACCCAGATTTAGAAGCTTTTAAAAATCATTTGGGGGCAGAGAGCTCTGTGTCCCAACAACTGGTCAGCAATAAGCTGCGCTTGTCCTGTTCCACTCTGGCTGAGATGGAGCAGGAGGAAAGAAGGGCCCCAAGGGCAGCAACTGGAAGATCAGGGGCATTAAATGTTTTCCAAGGAAGACTCTGCTGTCAGACTGGGCCATTTTTGCAATATAAAGAGCTGCTTTCATTGATACAAGATTTGAAGCACTGTTTATGAAATGTATTAGTCAGGATTTATCCACCAGGAGCTTTCTTTGCTCTTCATTAGGTTCCTGTGGAACTATATTAAGGGGAGGACTAGAAATCATCAGGAGTGGGTTGGAAGGGAAAGTGCCGTGTGATGGGTAAGCTTTTTCAAATAGCCTTTTATTTTAATCCCAAAGGCCATACTTACATACTGTGAACAATTCACACAATATAAAAATACGGTAAAATCTCCCTCAAATCTCATCCTTCACAGATAATCATCATTAAACAGTTTATAGATCTTTTTGTGTATAAAAGCATGGATATACATGTATACATAGATGCACACATGCATATATAATTGTTGTTTTTGCTGTTGTTATTTCTTTAAATATTATCATACTTGGTATTCTGTGCATCTTTCTGACATCTTGCCATGTCAGACATATAGCTCTGTCTTTCTTAATGTTTGCTTAGTTTAGGATAAGATTTCAAGTCCTGTATATAACAATATATTCCACAATATTAATATTAACATGAATATATAAGTACTTTTGAACTAGTACTTTTCACAAGTGGAGATTTTAAAGAGTAATCATATTTTATCTAGAATTTATCTAAAATTAAACCTAACCTCCAAATCTCTAAGGAGCATGAGGATTCTCTATAAAATTATAGACATTAGAAAAAAATGAAACAGCATCACATGCATTGATCAACAACTAGTAATGCACTTGATTTTTTTAAATTATTAAAACTGATCACACCTATAAAATGTCTGGTGAGGAAAGAAGCGTAGTATTTCTAGAATGTCATTATCTCAGTATTTTCCAGTGCAATTAAATGTAACTGATTTGTGTGGTTCTAAAATTCAGTTTTGCCCTGGCTGGTGTTGCTCAGTTGGTTGGAGCATCATCTTATGCACCAAAAGGTTTGGGGTTCGATCTCTGTGTGGGAGGCAACTGCCTGATGTTTCTCTCTCATCGATGTTTCTCTCTCTCTCTCTACTCCTCTCCTTCTGGAATCAGTGGAAACATATCCTTAAGTGAGGATAAAAAAAATTTTTTAATAAAATTACATTTTGTCTATAATTAAAATAAGTGTTTTTATAGATGAAGTTATATATTCATAACTGAAATCATTTATAATAGAAATGATGCATTTATAACTAAAGCAAATAACAGAATTTGTAATATTAAAGAAGTAACTGTAATTACACATACTTTTATATTTTCAGGCTAATAACAGTATCATTAAATATGGTGAAGTGAGTCCATAATATATAAGAATATTTAAGAAGCAAGATGATATACAAGATCAGTTGTATATTTCCCCTAAAATCATTTCCAAAAACCTAAAACATAAAGGCTGATCTTATTAAAGAAAATAATGAGTCAGTATAAGATTTTTTATCAGTTACAACTGATAATAATTTGGAGAGACTGTGGATATTCAGGGGGAAAAACTGGACTTTGAGAAAAATTCAAACACTATGAAAATGGAAATGAAAACGCAAGATAGAATTATCTTTCCCTCAGAGACACAGGCTCTGATCCACAGCTTATCTCTGCTCCTGTAATTCCAAGCCTTTGTCTCCATTAATGCCCAGGACAAGGGGAACAGTAGTACAAATCAAACTAATGCAGTCAGGCTAATACCTGGAGCGTCTCTATTATCTGACCACTGCCTAACTAAGGTGATTTGGTCTCCTGTAATGGCATTTGTCTCTTGTGAAGCCAGCCAGACAAAGCCCACCACTAAGGAGTGCTGGTGGAAACAATGAGCGTGTGCTGGTGGTCAGCTTCTGAGTTAATCAGTGCTAATAGGTGCCTTCACCCCCTGCATCTTATCACGCATCACAAGAGTGGCATAAATCCCCCATTACCACACCCAACAAACAGCATCAACCTGGGCCTTGTGCTTGCTTTTAAAGGCAGGGAGCTATGTGCTAGTCCATTTACTTGATGTGAAACCCAAATCAAAGCATGACAGATGGTGTCTTGTTATCTCCATTTCACTGAGCCCTGTAGGACTAAAAACCCCTCCATGTGCCTTTGGCTAAATTTAATGATCATTTTGGCTGTTCTGTCTCCTGCTGGGGCACCAGCCCACAGCAGGAGCTCAGCAGCCAAGGCAGAGCTTGGTGACTCCCACCACTCCACATCCCATTAGATTCACCCCTTCCCATTCTCCTTGCTTCTAGTTTTTTATTCCAGCCCTTTTCCTTTGTCCTTGCTAATGCTTTGGTAAACTTGTTGGTGTCGCAAGGTATTATTGAGTCCCACAAGTGAACCCCCAGCCTAAAAAGTTTATTACTTCTGTCTGGTAAAGTGACCAACATTTAGAAACTTCCATGTCTTTTCTCTTCCTGCAGGCCTTCTGGGGTGACCTAGTGGGCCATGTCCTTTATTTAGCATTTTATGACTGGGTGATTTCAGTAAAATAATGATACCATAGTATATGTTCTATTTATCACATAACAGGTTTGCAAAGAACCACACACCTATTATATCTGGTGTTGGTCAAGAAATTGCATAACAATGTGTCCCTTTTATTAGGCACAACCTCCATCTGATGGATATTTATGGATTTGTGTTGAGCCACCAACACTGCTCTTCCTTGATCTCTCTAGTTCAGTCAAGTCAAAAAGTACTGATTGGAAGCAGCCTAGCAGTGTAATCAAAAGATCAGGCTAGAGTCTGGTCTCCTGGGTTCAAACCCCAGTAACTAGTTGATTTTGGGTCAATTATTCAACCTCTTTGAGCCTTAGTTTCCTCATTTAAAAAATGGGCATAATAATGGGACCTATTTCCTGGAATTGTTGGAGGAATTATAATAGAGATAATGCGCTAGGGAATATAGAAGTAAAGCAAGTTGTCTAGAACAGCAATTTTTCAATTGGTGTGCTGCAAGAGTTTTTAAAACATACAATACCTGACTATTTAGTCAGGGGCACTGACCGCTTTTCCCTTAGATTGTCAGATAAAAAACTGACAACAGCCAACACAACAATAGCCGTCCTGTGTGAATGAACCAAAATTATACCTTTTTTTTTTTTTTTTATCAGGTCGGCAAAAAATATAACATTTTTTGACGTGCCGCAGAATTTCAGTAGTTAATGTGTGCTGTGAGATGAAAATGGTGGAAAATCATTGGTCTAGAACAATGTTTTCATGTCTGGAACAATGTGTAGCACAGAGTGGGTTCTCATTCAACAGTCATAGAACAGGTGGAACAGTTCTTGTCTCTAGGAGCTCATCAGATGATGGAGAGAAAAGACTACTCAACGCCTGTTCTACAAATATTTATTGTGTTCCCCATGGGCCAGTCACTGTGTGAGGCTCTGGAGACAGAGTGACAAACAAGTCAAACAAAGTCTCTGCTATATTGGGACTTTTTATACCCAGTACCTAGCACAGTCATGGCAAATAGTTGGCCCACAATAGATGGTGAGTGAATGAATGAAACAGTAAGAAAATAACATAGGGAAGTATATAATTAAAGACTAAATTAATGTGTGTAGACGGTTAGGACTACTAGAGGCTATAGGAGAGGAGGGATCAGAGATATGTAAAGACAATTCTCAACTTGTTGCCTCCACGTGGATGCGTCTGGGAAAAGGCTAAGGCCTAATATGGGCAGGAACTGTGTGTTGGTGGAAGGGCATTCCAGGCGAGGGAACAACATGTGAGAAGACTTGGGAACCGGACAGCAAGAACTGTGGCCTCCCTAGGGTGACAGGTACCTGTCAACAGGGCTAACTTCATGGGTGTGCAGCCCAAGCACTGTGCTCAGAAGGGCCCTGCTTTGGTTTAATGCTCTGCTGTTGCCATTTTGAAAAATCTTAATAATTCTTGACCAAGGGAACCCATGTTTTCATTTTGCAGTGAGCCCCCCAAATTATGTAGCCAGGCTGCCCATTGTGGGTGGGGGGTGGGTGATACAAACTACAGAGAACCTTAGAAAAAGGCCAAGGAAGTAAAATTTGATATGGTGGAAAGTAGTGAGGCAGGTTTGGTGATTGAACTAGGGTTGCAGCGTGGTTTAGGAAGACAGAAGTGGGGTGCAGGGAGAACAGAAGGGCTGGGTTGACCCACCTGCAGTTGCAGGATGTGCTTTTGAAGCTGTTGGCCACCTGGGTGAGGGTGGGGCAATGAAAATGGAGAAAAGGAGTTATACAGAGGCACTCAGAAGGGAAATTTGGCTGGTTTTTGAAACACAATGTAGGGAAAG